CACCCCCCCCCCCCCCAAAAAAAGAAAACATCCCTCATGCTAAATTCTTTCAACTATTGATTACAAAGCAGCTCTTTTTTGAGCAACTACGTAAACAGTTTCAAGCCTCAAAGCATTCTGACAATGCATGAGGCTGAGAATTTGGCAAGCGTGGTCAACAAACTCCTACTTGTTGGACTATTCAAACTATCTTTATGTCTTTATTTTAAATCTTACATCTCTCAGTGACCATTATAAGAACGGTTATTCAAGTTCTCTACACTCCACAAAGACAACTCACTCTGAGAGGTTGTTTTAAAGCACGGAAAGGTCCATTTAAATGCATGTTGGATGCATTTACTGGAACCATTTTAAAAATATGCAACATCTGAATCAAGCAAGTTCATGTAGCCCTGATTTATTCTCCAGTGCAGAGACGGTTCATTCCCTCAGGCCTGCAGAGACCCTTTGAAGGGCTGAGAATATGACAGAATGTCTTAAGCTTTAATCTCTGCAGGTACTGTGTGCACAAAGCAGCATACAGTGCTGGAAGAGCACCAACACCCTTATATGCAGCACGGACTGACCTCAAAGCTCCAACCGATAAAGCAAAGCAAATGTCTGCCATGACTGTCAGTCTGGTTTGAACATGTCACAACCGCACCCTTTTTAAAGTAAAAGGGGGACGAGGGTTTGGGGGGGAGGTGCAATCAAAAGAATAAAGACCTCCTATTGCTCAACGAACTGTTGAGATTAAGAGCTAAACATAAATGTCATTCTCTCACTGTGTGTATGACAAGCCTTTTCACTTCCTCATGTGAAGCGATAAACCAACCAAAGCTGAAAACTTCTTGCACAAATGGCCATTTTAGGCAACATTTATTTGGCTGTGAAGTAATCTGGATTCCAGAAAGGGGTTTGCTCAGTCTGTGGTCAATGAGAGAACTAGTTAGAATGAAAATAGTCTTTTTAGCATATTTTGCATCTCTGGAACAACATTTAAAAACTTTTAAAATAATGGTAATAAAGTGACATTTGGAAAGAATTTTGGAAGCAAACCGGGAAAAGGTGGGTTTCAAACCAGTTAACTAGAGATCAGGTAACAACCCCAGAAGGTTCATTCACTGTAAATAGGGGTGTATATTTAAAACACAAACAAATTAGACTCCAATGGGACAGATATAGTAAATTAGTCAAAATCACACGAAGAAACATTATACTAAATGTAAAGTGTGATGATATAATATGTGAAAATGTCTTTGCATCACAAGAATGAGTGTTGCAAAGTAAGCTGTGAAAGGGTTGGTAAAGAGAGAAAAAAAAACATTTGAGCACAGTAGATAAAAGAGACCTGATTATTCAGCTGTCAAAGGCTGACAGTAGCACTTAAACATGTCTATGGGCATCTTTACAGAGCAGAATTAAGTCAACTTTTGTGCAGTGTAAAAGCCATATTACCTTTTCTGACATCCCTCATGCCCAATAAATGAAATTCAGCATTAGAGCCACCTCAATTTTCCTTTTCACATATTTTACAATTAAGGATTTATATTATATAATTTGCTTTTTTTATAAAAATTATGTGCAATGTCTGAAATCTGATTTTTTTTATACTTTGACAAAATATTTTAGTTAATTTCTGGACCAGCTAACAAAATATTAATTTTGAATCGTCTAAAATTAATATTAATAATTGATCGAAAACACCACAGGTCAAGCATTAACCAGTTTAAGCATAGGTTTTTAGATCAAAGTCAAATAAAAACATCAAAATATAACGTTCATTTATCACCTCGGTACCTTGCCACCAAGCCAGTGCACATGACATCTGAAGCCCAGATATGCTGTCTAGGTAGGCAGCTCACTAGATTTTGACACACGGCCAAGTGGACTGTCTTTCTCAGAAGTCCATCAGAATGCATTACCCGTCCTATCTCGAGCGCACTGCCTCTAAAGTGACCCCCGCCCCCCTTCAGAAACCTGTGCAGAACCCACCGCGGTCGAGACTCCAGCGAAGAGCCGCAGCTCTGCACTGACAGCAGCGTCGGAGACTTCCGCGCTCCGAGCGGAGAGGGTTGCAGACCGCACGGGGACAGGAGATTGCTCTGCGAGGAGAACGAGCCCCTCTCCCTCTCCAAGAACATCTCGGTGTTTCTGAACCCAGAATCCGACGGCAGAACCAGGATGGGCGGGACGTTGAGCAGCCCGAGTCTGGGGACCGGGAAGCTGGAAAAGGTCCCATCGCTACTCGCCGCAGCGGACAGTTCGCTCACAGTCGCGCCGATGTCAGAGCACTGAAACTCGGCATCACTTGGGCCCGCTGCGCTCACATTGTTCCGCACAGGACGTCCGTCCAAGGATATATTAGTGAGAAAGAAAAGCGCAGCTTGTCTCCTCCGCGAATCTTTACTTTTCCGCAGATGCTCTCTGTGCAGTTTGCCAGTGCACGGGTTCAGTGTGCTCTGCGTACTGCACGCAGCAGCCGCCATTCTCAAGTAAACAGCCCGCTGTTACTCAGTTCTGTTTCTACCCCGGCGCTGCTCGCCCGGACACGCCCACTCTCATCTGATTGGCTTAGAGTACAGGATTTTAGTAAATAGATAGAGCGTGCGCGGATTTCATTGGCTGATGAGTCATGAAGCGTTTGAAATAATGTCACAGGCGCGCTCTGACAGGAGAGAGAGTAAATGAACGACTGTAGTCTGTAAATGCAGTTTCTGCTGCTTTGTTATTATATATTCATATTTCAGAGACTAAAAAAGCAAAGGTCTATATACGCTTTAGATGCCTCATTGTACAGTAGCAAATTAAACGTGTCCTTTCTACCCACATTTTTGGTATAGCTATATCTCCACATTTGACAGTGTTTTAGGCCTAAAGTCACACTTTATTATAAACAGTACTGTGAAGTCAGTCAGGCCTGTATTCGAATCAGTACTGTCAGTTAAAGTATAAATAATTTAATAATAATGCATCCTCTCTATCCTCTGACCTACTAAGATATTCCACAGAGGACCTCAGTTGGCCCTCATCACAGGGCCTGGGACAAAAGTTCCCTGTCCTCCCCCCCCCCCCCCCCGCACCCCCTCGCCGTTATTCTCA